GGGTTTAGGGAGCCTGAATGTCCCTAGGTGTCAGAAGTTCACATCTCCAGACAGCCAACTACCAATAAAGCCAGGGATATACCGAACTTAGGGTTTAGGGTTTAGGGTTTAGGGTTTAGGGTTTAGGGAATGAGCCCCGTATTTTTTTAAATTTAGGACCCAGGAACAGGTGGCACAAATGGTCGGTCGTGTGAGAAGTGCGGACACCTCGGAATCAAGAACAAACTTTACAAGTACCACAAAGAGCAACTACAGGAACACTTACAGTAGAAGCCCGAAAGTTGGAAACCCGTCCTAAACCCTAAACCCTAAACGGTTTCCAACTTTTTGGTGGTTACTGTAAAGGAGCTCAGGCCAGCGCACTGCGCCAAGCCGTGTTCTCGCCCCTGGGCCGACTCCTTTTCGACCTGGACACAGCGCGGTCCTTGGAGTAGGGATTTAGGGTTTTGGGGGTAAGGGGTCTAGGGGATAGGGTTTAAGTTTAGGGTTCAGAAACCCTAAACCCTAAACCCTAAAAGTTTGGGGTTTGGTTTAGGGTTTAGGGCGGGTTTACTATAGGGGAGTAGGGATTTGGCTGCTAGTTGAGGGTTTGGGGCTCCGGGTTTTCAGGTTCGGGCTTCGGGTTTGGGGATTTGGGCCGGGGTTTAGGGTTTAGGGTTTAGGGTTTAGGGCAGTTTGATGAAGTAGGGCTGCATTGAGGGGCTAGGGTGCAGGGTTTGGGGTCGGTGGTTGAGCTTAGGTTGTGGAGTTTGGTGGCTTTGGGCATACTGCTGATCTTCGCTCCAATGCCGACAACTGCATCGTACGGCTTCGAAGGGGCGGCCGGATTCGTGTTATGGGAGAGTGGGATGTTATGTTGTGTTATATTAGCTGTTGTAAGTCATGTCATGTTATGTCAGGGCTGCCAGGGCATCTTCAATCAATGACATGTCACGCTGTGCCCTGCTATGTTAGGTTGTGTTGTGTTTGTTATGATGTGGTATGCAATGTTATATTGTTGTGGTGTGTGCAGTGGTATGCTACGGTGTGGTGTTTTCCGTTAAGTCTGTCGTGTCATGTTATGCTGTGTGTCACTGTAGTGGTATCCTGTGCTATGTTGCGTTAGGTGATGATGTATTTTCTTACATGGTAGTCTCCCCTACGAGATCACCCGATCTGTTCTCAAGCTATGCTATGTTATGCTATGCTTTGATATGTTACGGTGTGTTGACAAATTGAATCGTTGTGTGCGCGCGCGTGTGCATGCGTGTGCGCGGTATATGCATATAAGTGTTGTTTTGTGTTGTGCTGTGTTGCGTTCTTTCGTGTTGGGGCGTGATGTGATGTGATGTGATGTGGTTTGTTGTGTTGACCTACCTGTTTATGTTATAGCATTCTGAGGTTTTTGTATGTTTTGATGTGTTGTTTGAGGCTGTGTTTTGTTGCACTGTGCTATGTTATGCTGCCATTTGTCATACGGCATGTCACGGTGCTCTTTGTGATATGATGGCATGCACGCGGATGATAGGCTGTGGCTATTGGTGTGATGCCGGATGCCGGGTTATGTGATGCATAAAACACGAACATGTTCATGACCAGGATCATGGTGTGGTTTTGTAAGAAGTCGTCACAGCAGGGGTTAGCCTGAAGAAGAAACAGGTGATGACGATTTTGATGGTGCTGAGGAGAATGCGGATTTGCACCCTTGCGATGGCACCAATATGAACGACTGCGCTGATCAGCATTGTCATGGATCCCGAGTTGGTTTTGGTATGTACAACTGCGTTTGTTGGTACTCATGTTTGCCTGCAAACCACGTGGGCATGGCCTATGTCTTGAAATAGCAGCAGTGCATGGTCAACATACGTCTTTTTGACTCGATGCCAAATAAGCGTATGTACTCAGTAACTTGTCCTGATAATCTGATATGCGATCCCAAAAACCCTCCCTTTTACTACAGCGAGAGCGAACCTGCAAGGAAGATGGTTTTAAGCGCCGGTGACTTCCATGGCCTTGTATCCACACTCCGAAATCTCGTGCTGTTGCTGTTGCCATCGGCTCTTGGGGGTTGGGTTTTAAGGATTTGCGGGGCTCTTCTTCTCAGTATTTTTTCGGAGGCTCAGTTCCCTGTGTTTGAAGAACATTCGCTGAAGTGTATCAGGCTTCTTGCTATGACAGAGGGAATACGGTTTAGGGTTTAGGGTTTAGGGTTTAGGTTCCTTAAGTTGTACAGGGTTTCTGATTATGATATAAGGGGTAAGGAGCGACACGCAAGAGTAAGAGCTGCTGCGCTTTTTCGGAAAGGACTCGGGCAAGGGGATCCGTACGTCTTAAACCCTAAATCTTCTAAACCGTAAATCAAGTTTGTTGAAGAGGGGTTTAGGGTTTAGGGTTTAGGGTTTAGGGTTTAGGGAGGCTTCCATCGATGCCACTATGCAGGCGGAGAAGGGTGTGAACATAAGGTCTTATTCCCCAAACCCTGAATCCTAAGCGCTGAACCCTTAACTTCCCTGAACCCTTAGCCCTTACATAAACCCTAACCAGGTACCTACTTTTGAGGGTACTAGAGCCCTTTTTAGTAGGCACCTGGAGGGTT